AACCCAAGTGCAGTGGTGCACATTTGTAATCCCAGTGCTGGAGAAGTGGAGAAGGGAGGACCTTGGACAGTGGCTAACCAAACAGTCTAGCCACTGGGTGAGCTCCAAGGTCAGTGAGAGGCCATGTCTTAAAAAATAAGATGAATGCTGGGCGGTGGTGGCGCACGCCTTTAATCCCAGCACTCGGGAGGCAGAGCCAGGCGGATCTTTGTGAGTTCGAGGCCAGCCTGGTCTCCAAAGCGAGTTCCAGGAAAGGCGCAAAGCTACACAGAGAAACCCTGTCTCGAAAAACCAAAAAAAAAAAAAAAAAGAAAGAAAAAAAATAATAAGATGGAGCCAGATATGGTGATGCACACCTTTAATCCCAGCACTTGGGAGACAGAGGCAGGTGGATCTCTGTGAGTTTGAGGCCTGCACAGAGAAACAGTCTGGTCTGCACAGAGAAACCCTGTCTTGAAAAAAAATAAAAATAAAATAAAGATGGAAGTGACAGAGGAAGACATCCAGTATTGACTCTGTTCTCCAAACATGCAAATATAGGAATGCATACACATGCTTGCATACACACACACACACACACACACACACACACACACACACACACACACAAAACACACATTTCTATATATACAAAATAATTATAGTAGAGTTTATGCTGTGGTGTTAGAGCAATGGATTCTTTAATCAAATCTAAGCTCTCTTGGTTTTAAACATTTTAAAATTGTCTTAACTTTATTATTTTCATGTGCATGAGTGTTTTGCCTGCATGGATGCATGTGCACTACATGCGTGCCTGAGGTCAGAAGAGAGTTTGGATCCTTTGGAACTGAATTATAGTAGCTGAGTTACTGTCTGTGAGCCACCATATGGGTGCTGGAAACTTATCCTTGGTCCTCTGCAAGAGCAACAAGTGCTCTTGACTGCTGAACCTTGTCTCCAGCCCCAGTTATCTTTGTGTGTGTGTGTGTGTGTGTGTGTGTGTGTGTGTGTGTGTGTGTGTGTGTGTACCAGAAGTTGAACCCTGAGCCTCACACATCCTTGACTCTACAGCCTGGGCTACACTTTCAGCTCTATTGTTTAGTTTTTCACTTTGGGGAATTTTTGTTTGTTTTGTTTTGTTTTTCGAGACATGGTTTCTCTGTGTAGCCCTGGCTGTCCTAGAACTCAGAGATCTGCCTGCCTCTGCCTCCAAGTGCTGAGATTAAAGGTGTGTGCCACCACAGCCTTTTTTTTTTTTTTTTAGACAAATTCTCAACAACACTAGCTATTCTGGAACTCACTATTTAGACCTGGCTGGCTTTGAACTCACACAGATCCATCTGCCTCTGCCTCCTAAATGCTGTGATTACATTTTTTTCCCCCTGAGGTTTCACTTTGTAGTCCAGGCCAGCCTGAAGTTCACTATGTAGTTAGTGCTGGCCCCTGGACCTTGCCCCAGTTCTCTGGCCTCAGGCCCCAAATTCTGGGATTTGAGAGTGGAGCCACCATGCCTGGCTAATTATAAATTTATAAATAACCTCAGGTAAATTCAAAGATTCAGGGCTTCATCTTGTGGAGCAAAGCTAGTCTGTTTAGTTAGGTAGCATGAGGATTGAATAGCAGTGTGAGGCCTATGACAGACACTAAACATTATTTCCCTCTGCTCTCCCATCTACTTGCATTAGTTTTAGCCAGGTATGGTGGCACAGACCTCTGATCCAAGCTATTCAAGAATCTGAAACAGGACTGTAAATACAGGCCAGCCTGGGCAACTAACTCATAAAGACCTTGTCTCAAAATAAAAAAGTAAAAAAGGCCTGGGTGGTGGTGGCACACCTTTAATTGCAGACTCAGGAGGCAGAGGGAGGCTGATCTCCAGTTCAAAGCCAGCCTGGTCTACAGAGCAAGATCTAGGACAGCCAGAGCTACACAGAGAAACCCTGTCTCAAAAAAATCAAAATTAAAATAATTTTTTAAAAAGTGAAAAGGGCCAGGCGGTGGTGGCCCACGCCTTTAATCCCAGCACTCAGGAGGCAGAGGCAGGCAGATCTTTGTGAGTTTGAGGCCAGCCTGGGCTACAGAGCAAGATCCAGGAAAGGCGCAAAGCTATACAGAGAAACCCTGTCTCCAAAAACAGACAAAAAAAAAAAGGGTGAAAAGGGGTTGGGGATATAGTTCAGTGGTAGAGTACCTGTCTAACATGCACAAGGGCCTGAATTTGGTCCCTAGTTTCACACAAATACAAACAAAATTAATGTTAGATTGCCATATGGTTATAAGTGGTCTGATGAGATGGATGTGGTGGGCACTCAGGAGACAGGTGGATCTGTGAGTTCTTGGCCAGCCAGGAATATATAGTGAGACCCTGTCTGAACAACAGCAAGCCTGATAGATACTATAAGTCTGATGAATACAAACAAGAAACTTATTCAAGGATGATAAATACCAACAAATAACCTACATGGCATTCTATGTTATACAGTTAAATACTTTAGACGTGCGTACAAATACATGTGCTATATATTGCTATATTTTAAAGTACTAGATACATTATATATTTTATACATATATAGTCATTTTTTATTGTTGGGTTTTTGTTTTTGTTTTTGTTTTTTTTCAGGAGCAGGGTAGTCTCTCAAACTGTCTCAACTAGCCCAGACCAGCCTCCAACTTGATAAGTAGTCACACCTTGAACTTTTGTTCCTGAGGCCTCCACCTCTGGAGGGCTGAGTTTACAGGTGACATGCCACCACTCCTGGCTATTCTCATGGCTTTTCTAGTTGGTGTTACTTCCATTTCCTAATAAGAAATAGACTCAGAGAACATCAATCTTGTGACCTCTGTCTCCTCACATTCTTTGCACCAGTCCCTCCCTGCCCCAGAAAACAGTGGCGAGAAGGCCTTGCTTCAACATTTTCCAATGCAATCCTGCTTTCCTTCTGGATTTGACATAGTCTGCTGGTGTGCTGCAGAAGCCAGCAGTAACTGCCATATAACTGTTAAGCAGCAGAACCTGAATAGTAACTGGCTTTGTTTTATACATTAGGTCATCTTTGGACCAACTCCTGATGTCAATGTACTGATCTGAGGTTCTGAAAACGCCCTACAGTGCACTTCCTAGTTTAAATGGCCTTTCATATTCTTATATATGAAAGATAGGGAATAAATATGTCAAAAAATCAGGACTAAGCAAAGACAAAATGGTTCTACACAACATAGGGCAAATTAGTCACCAAGTTCCAACATGAGGCTGAATTTCCACTAAGGAAAATGAAGTGTTAGATGTACTTAAATAAAATATTCCTGGGGCTAGAGAGATGGCCCAGGGATTAAAAGCACTTACTGCTCTTTCTTGCAGAGGACCTGAGTTTGGTTCCCAGCATCCACGTGGTGGCTCACCACCATCGGTAACTCCAGTTCCAAGAGTCTGGCACTCTGTTCTGAATTCCGCTGGCATCAGGCACACCTGAGGTACATATACATATGTACTGGCAAGAGAAAAAAATGTTCTTGAGTAAGAGACCACTTAACATGTCTGTGTGTCAGAGGACATGGCAGCAGTCTTCGAGGCCCATAGTAGGGGTGAGTTTTTATGCTGGAAAAAAAAATTACTCTTAAATCCTGTGGTTTGTGTTAAAAGACAAGAGAAGGGCAGCTCTCAGGATCAATTTTCTACATACTAGCACCTAGCAGTCCATGTGGAGGACAGGCCCTTTCCCCACAGTGCAAGCTCAGACAAGCCTTCGGAACCAGTTCTGAACCAGGCTCTGCTTTCCCAGCCAGCCTGCACTCTGCTCTGCACAGCACCTCACTCATCTTCACCCTCCACGCCCCTCACCTCGGCCCTCTCTCCTGCTTCAAAGAAGCATGGGAGCCAACAGAAAGGAGCTTCCCTGACACCAAATCCTCAGACCTCCCTGTGTCTGTATGCATCTCAGAGCCTTAGGTCCTCAGAGCCCAGGCTTATCTCCACCTGTGGACAGGGACCTTGTGCAGACCGTTCTTTCAGACACACATCATTGCCCTTCACTGGTTCCTGGCCAACAGCTTTAAATGTACGAACTCTCCATTTTTCAAAATCCATAAAAGCGTGTTTCCCTGTACATACTGACTTGTCTCTTCCTCCTCTTCACAGCCGCATCCAAGGTGTCTACACTGGGCTTGGTAACTGCCTCCCAGCCTCCCAGTTCTCACCCACTTTAATCTGGATTCTGTCCCAGTTCCTCCCCAGATGCCCCTAATAAGATCACTAGTAGTTCTTATTTTATGAGCAGAGTAAGTAGCATTAAACCCTCCTTTTCAAACGGCTCTTCCTTTAACTGATGCAAGACCCGGTTTTCTCTCCTCTGCTCACTCTCTTAATGGTCAGTTTCTTCTTCACACCATGTGTCCTCGGGTTTAGTCCCACAGCCCGCTTCTCACTGCACACTTCCTACGCTCTCCATTACCAAGACCAATGGTAGATTTTGGTACATCAGACCCGTACTCCTCTTCCAAGCTTCAGCCTGTATGTCCACGTGCCTGCTTCATGTCTTGATTTAGGGATGCCATGACACCTCACATGCACCGAATCCCAGAGTTCAACTCATCTTTCCCCATCCAACCCGTTCCTCCCCATTCTAGCCAGAAACGTTGGGATCATCCTTGACTTTTTCTCTCACATACTCCACAGACATCCACCTTCTAGTCCTGCTGAGTCTACATTAACTATGCTTTAGTCCATGTATATCTGTCTCTCTGTGTCTATCTCTCTGTGTGTCTGTATCTGTCTGTCTTTCACAGTGTGTCTCTGTCTCTCCCTGTCTCTCTCTGTCTCTGTCTGTCTCTGTCTCTGTCTCTCTCTCTCCCTCCATTCCAAACAACCACTCTCACACCAGGTATGGTGATGAACACCTGTCATCCCCGCACTTGGAAAGCGGAGGTAGAAGGACTATTGCAAGCTGGAGCCTGGTCTACACAGTGAATCCCAGGCCAGCCTGAACTATGTGATGACACCCTGTCTCAAAAAGACAAAAACGAACCTCAGAAGACAGCCGCTCTCCTGTCTGGATGGCTGAGTGTCTTCTACAGTAGTCTCCCGGGGCTCTCGTGCTCCCTAGGCTCTGCTCCCTCCGTCTTCTGCCAGTGTCTCCAAAAGAGATCTAGATAATCTGGTCCTCCCTACTGCCGTTGCCTCCTCACCAGCCCCCTCAATCTTATCTTAGACTCCCTGTCCTTATTTCCTCCAACACACACGTTCTTCCCCTAAAGCTTTCACATAGGACTGAGTGTTCTTGTTCAGTGGTAGAATGCTTGCCCTACCTAACACACATAAGGCCCGAGGACAGGAAGAGGGAGGCCAGTAGGAGAGTGAGCACCAGCCTCCACTGGTCCTCCTCAGGGATGCCCCAGACCTGTTTGCTTCCCTTGTTTATTCCCAGAATCAGGAATCCTCTCAGTGGGTCCAACTCACATAACTTTTGGTATTGTGTCTCCTCCACTAAGGTGTAAGAGAGAGGCCACTGCTTACCACACTACCTAGCATAAAAACACTCACTATAGTTTTGTTGAATGGATAAATAAGAATAAAGAAGTTATTTATCAGAGGAAAAAAAAAAAAGAAAGAAAAAAGAAAACCATATCCTTCCATGGCATAGCCCCAGGAATCAAAATGCTACACCAGTCTATGTGAATTTTCTTGCTTGCATAAGACCAAGTTACGGGGGAGGGGTCAGTGAACTCAAGTAACCTGACAGAGAATGAGGAACCCACCAAACTGGCCAATCTGGCCAGGGACATCCTTTTAGCTGGCCTGCTGCTTTCTCGGGGGTTTCACATTTTACCTAGTTGCAGTGCATGTTGCAAGCACTATTTTAAAAGGGACAAGGAGTTATAGCAGGCTCACTGAGTTTCCTTTCTAAGCATGGCTGTCCCGTGTTGGACAAGGAGTGAGTTCTGACTTATTCAGGCTTTAGGACCCCCACTGCTGTAGAGATCCCTCAATAACTTATATTTCAATTTTCTCCCGAAGGGGCCAGAGAGATGACTCAGTGGATAAAGGCATTTGCTGCCAAGTCCAATGCCTGAGTTCAGACCTTGGAGACTTACATAGTGGAGGAAGAAAACCAACTCCTACAAGTTTGTCCTCTGATCTCTACATGTACATATAATATATATATACATATATATATATATTTAAATACGTGTAAATAAAACATTTAAAAATCAAAATTTCTCCTTGAGGAATAAGAAAACATGGTTTAGACAACCAAGAAATGCTCCAGAAATAGGTATAATTACGATGTATCAACTAAAATGCATAGCAGAGCCGGGCATGTTGACACATTGACTATAATCCCAGCACTTGGGAAGCTGAATCAGGAAGATCAGGAGTTCTAGACTCAGTCTCAGCTCCATGAGATCTTGTCTCGGTGTCCCAGCCCTACCCTGTCACAAGAGGCACCAAAGTATACGTACAACCTACATTCTTTCGTATAGACCGCCACCACTGTCTAAATATCAACATGTAGCACCATATTGTATGATGTAAAACTATATGGCTCCATCTAGCCCTGCCGGCATCCAGTTTTGTATTTGCTTCCGTGTTGATTGTTTTGAGCCACACTAGGTAACCCTGGCAACCCTGCAGCTTGCTGTGTAGACCGGGTAGTCTCTAGGCCTGTGTCAGTCCTCCAGGCTCCTGAGTGCTGGGTCACCGGTGTGCACCATCCTACTTACCTCCTGAAGTTTAGCAGGTAACTCGTGCTTGCTTAGTTCTTTCTCCCATCCGGAACCTGTGAGGACTCGGCATGACTTGTCCTAAGTGGTAATCACTACCGACCCGACAGGTAAATTGGGTTGGATAGCTCTTGCAGAGTGTTCCAGTTGTCCGTTCATTCTGTGCCCAAAAAGGCTGATTGAGCGACTTTTTAGATTCTGGATTAGGGAGGCTCAACCTGTACAATGTTTTATTATCTTTAATTTTGTGTGGGTGAGGATGTGTGTATGTGGGTGTGTGCACATGGCAGCAGGTGCCCACGGGTGCCAGAAGCATCAGATCCCCTGGAGCTGTAGTTATTGACAGTTGTGAGCGGCCTGGTGTGAGTGCTGGGAACTGGGCCAGGGTCCTCTGGAACAATGTCAAGTGCTCTTAACCACTGAGCCATCTCTCCAGACCCAACCTGCACAATTTCATCCTTCCTTTGAAAAAGAGGATACTGAGACTTGGAGTTTCCCAAGTTAAGTAACTACAAGTTTAAACATAGATATACTGATTCCAAACCCTGGATTCCTTTCTATTGTTGTTGTTGCAGGGAGGGCAGGTAGCTTGTCTCATGGAGCCCAGCCCAGGCTGGCTTTCAACATACTTTAGCTGAGAATGATCTTGGTCCTCCTGCCTTCCCCTCAAGTGCTAGGATTTGTAGGTGTGTGGCCCCAAGCGAAGCCAGAACTTACATTCTTTTTTTTTTTTTTTTTTTTTAAAGATTTATTTATTTATTATGTATACAGCATATGTGACTGCATGCCAGAAGAGGGCACCAGATCTCATTACAGATGGTTGTGAGCCACCACGTGGTTGCTGGGAATTGAACTCAGGACCTCTGGAAGAGCAGTCAGTGCTCTTAACCTCTGAGCCATCTCTCCAGCCCCAGAACTTACATTCTTAACCAACATACGCTACTGTATCTTGATTGCTAGTAGTAGTGATGCTTTTTCTGTTTTATTCAGTAGAGAGGAAGAAATACTATTAGAAACAAAAACCGAATGGAGCCTCCCTGATTTCTAGGGGGTGGTGGTGCACATCTTTAATCCCAGCACTCAGGAGGCAGAGGCAGGATTCTCTGAGTTTGAGGGCCAGCCTGGTCTACAGCATGAGTTTCAGGACAGCCAAGGCTACACAGAGAAACCATGTCTTGAAAAACCAAAAGGAAGGAAGGAAGGGTGGGAGGGAGGGAGGGAGGGAGAGAGGGAGGGAGGGAGGGAGGGAGGGAGGGAAGGAAGGAAGGAAGGAAGGAAGGAAGGAAGGAAGGGAGGGGTTAGAACAATGACTCAGTAGTTAAGAGCACGTGCTACTCTTGCAGAGGACTTGCGTTTGGTACCCAACACCCACGTGAGAGCTTACAACGATCTGCTACTCCAGTTCCAGGGCATCTTATGCCTCTTCTGATCTTCATGAATACCACACATGCAAGTGGTGAACATGTATGCATGCAAGCAAAACACACATATAACAATAAAGAAATCTTACAAGATGTAAAGCAAAAATTTTTTTAAGGATTTATGCTTATGTGGACCAGGAGGGTACAAGAGAGATCCATTATTACAAATAAAAATAAGAAAAGAAAAGAAATTTGGAGTTTTCAATGAATATCTTAGAGACAGAAGCCACAGTGGAGGTTAGTGAGATGAGAAGCAGGACAGGAGATTAGTGGCTACACAGCACACAGTCATGGGGAAATTTCTTACCGTTGTAGAAAACAGCTATTCTGTTTCTGGAATCAGACATCTGCGCCCTGAACTTGAAACTTTCTTCTGTTTGCTATGGTATTCTTTGTTGTTGTTGTTGTTTTTTTCCAGACAGGGTTTCTCTGTGTAGTTTTGGTGCCTGTTCTAGATCTCACTCTGTAGCCCAGGCTGGCCTCAAACTCACAGAGATCCGCCTGGCTCTGCCTCCCGAGTGCTGGGATTAAAGGTGTGTGCCAGTGCCACCCGGCTTGCTGTGGTGTTCTGTTTAGTCTACCAGGCACATCCAACCTTTAGCCATTGTGATATGATCGACAAGGTTCACAGTGGGGAACTACACAATTGAGTTACTTCAAAAACCTGAGTTGATGGGGGAGGGGGGCCGACTATGAAATGGCTCAACAAGTAGAGTGCCTGCTCTGCAAGCCTGAAGACCTGTGGAGAGACCACGACAACCGCCACGTGTGTGCCACGTCTCCTGACTGCCACACATGCGCCATCACACACACACCCAATCATTTTAATTTTAATTTTAATTGTCGAAACCAAAGCTCATTTGGTTTTAAGTACATTTACAGTTTTTGTGCTGAGCTGCACTCAGGCTTTCCTTGGTGGCAAGTGGTGGCATGGGACCCAAGGACCACGAGTGAACACTCCTCAACCTTTCCTGCAGCGTGACTCCATGGAGCATTTGAAAGTGAAGGGTGAGGCGTGACAGAAGCACCGTGAAGCCACAGCCAAAGGAACAGGAGACAGTGGCCCAGCGTGGTCGGACCCAGGAAATCAGAAGCAATCTTAGAAAGCCTTAGGCTGCGATCTCGGGGCTTCCCACCATGAAAGGAAATGGGTCTCAGGAATGGCGTGTAGGGCTGGATGTAGCGGCACATTTCTGTGATCCCAGCATGCAAGGACACTGAAGGAAAACTGGAAGGTCAAGACTGTCTGGCCTATGTAGCAAGACTTTGTCTCAAAAATCAAAGAGAAGGAGGAGGGAAAGAGGGAAGGAGAGGAAGGAAGGAGGAAGGAAGGAGAAAGGGAGGACTGACTATAAGTATTAAAATATTTGAGGTTCCAGACTGGAAATTTCTTGGTCACTTCCAAGTCCAAAAAGATCGTGAGTGAATCTTGGTATTGTGCACATGCCTATAACTCTTGTCAGCACAACTTGGAGGCCAGCCTGGCCTACATAGTTAGTGAGTTAGTTCCAGGACAGCTGGGCTACAGAAAAAGAGCCTTTTTTTTTTAAAGGCATTTGTTGACACAGAGTAAAATGAATTAAACTTGTTATCATTAGTCCTCATCTGTACGCAATTAGCTGTCAGGACACCAAGCCCTCCTGGGTCCCCCCCCCCCCCCCCCCCCCCCCCCCCCCCCGCCTCACTGGGTGCTGCTCAGTATCCTCTGCCACTTCCCCCTCCTCTTCCTGATCTCCAAGTGACATGTGCATCAGTCCTCAGGCCTCCAGTCTCTGCTCTACCAACATACTCATTCCCATGGTGATCTCATCCAGTGTCATCCTCTTAAGTATTACTATAGCCAGTTATGGTGGCTCACAATCATAATCCCAGCACTTGGAAGGCTGAGGCAGAGGAATTGCCATGAGTCCCAAGATAATGTAGGCAACCCAACAGTGAGTTTCAGGATAGCCAGCTACACAGTGAACCCTTGTCTCAAAAAACCAAAACACTTGAGAGGCAGAAGATAGACTTCTGTGAGTTCCAGACCAGTCAGAGCTACACAGCAAGACTGTCTCTAAAACAAACAACCACAAAAGATCTCTCCCAGGCGTCCCTCCCACACTCAGGCTCCTTAGCCCATCATTCACGTGACACCCCCCATTTGGCTATCTAAAACTTACCTCAGACTTAGCATGTCCTATGCTGTTATTTCTTTTCCATTTTATTTATTTATTTATTAGGTGGGGGTGGGTTGTTGTCAGACGACAACTCCAGGGAGTGGGTTCTCTTCTTCCACCATGCGGATCCCCATGATTAAACTCAGCTCATTAGGTGGAGCCTTTACCATGAGCCATCTCCCCTGCCTCCAACGCTCCACTTCTGACCTTCCTCTCCAGAGCTCTACTGCTTATGGATATCTTTTTTTTTTTT